ATATCTATACAACAACCATGCTAAATCTTTTTGCAAAAACACTCAATTAACATTTCGATGTTTTTGTACTATGATTCAATGGAAAATAAGCCACCTATTGAATAAACAATTTCTGATGTGACCTGATAAGAATATCGATTGATTAAATAAACCACTTGTTGAAACAGTTTTTAGAAAAAAATACTATTATTATTCACAAATCATGTGAGATTATATCTAATAGAAAAATTTCTATACTAAACAAAATCACTGGAACAGTTTATATCCACTTAGATATGTTATATATATATATATATATATATATATATATATATATATATATATATATAGCCAGCAAATACTGTTTGTTCCATCAAATTCATTTACTCAGGTTACAAAACAAAAAATAAGGCTCATACTGCTACTCGGTATTACATCGGAAGTGTTGAAAACCCAAAACAATGGTTACTTATTTACTCTGAACTGTCCAGTACCGTAAAAATGTACATCTCATCACGTAATAAATTATGAACATTTAAAAAATACAATACACTGCTGAGGCGTCTCAAAATCGAACGAAACAGCTTCCAGGTTTTCCATGGTAGCCTGGATTCAATTGACTCGTGAATTAACTATTGAAAAAAGATATTGTTTAAACATTGGATAAGAATTCAATTCTTCATATTTCGCAATACAAGTAATGCAATCTACATTCTGTCTCACTACTGATTAACTGAGTTATCACTCAGTTGATAAAACATATCATGAATCGTCAGTAGAATTTTGTGAAATCAATCTCATACTCCATCAACAATGAGAATACAATGGATGGATATGTAATAGAATGCTTTTTATACACGTTCCGGTAACGTATAATAGCAAAGATAGTATCCACAAAAACTGTAAACGAGTAAGCAACTGCACACACCTAATTCGGCTGTCTACTCATCGTTTGTCTTAAAGAAACGAGAGCAAATCAAATGGTTGATAATGTTGTTGGAAATGTTGAAAGTTGATTGAGTCAACTTTGTGCAACATACACACATAGATGAACGTGTGAAGGATAATCATTCAATGAATTAATCATTACAAATACAAATATTCGTGTTCTCATAATCAAAACATTATATTGATGACATTTCAATGATATTTGCTTTATGTGTTTCGTATTGAGATTGGTTAAGAGTTGAGTGGTTTTACTGACTAAATCATTATGTTCTCAATAATGTATATTGTATGACTTGATTTGATAAAGTACTTTGTTAACCGGGTGATTTAGAGCATTCATTATAATAAGATTTTATTAATCATTAAATTAATTAATCGAATCAATATAATTGTGTATTTTGGTCTTACTACTACTTTAAATCATTCATTGTAGTTTCGCCTTGAAAATATGTTTTATACCAATAAATTTATTCATTTCATAGAGTTATGGATCCCATGATAGTAAAGTTGACAAAAATTCATCATTGTCTTTCTTCATTCTCATATCAACTATTCAAATGCCTAACTTTTAATTGTAATACAAAAACAATCGAATCACTGAATATGAATCTAATGAGTCTTAATCGTGTTATATTTCATTTCCGTCCAAAATAGTATCAAACCTTTTACAAGATTAAAAAAATTCTTTTATTTCGTTCAAAAAAATTTGCTTTTATCAGAAGGGGTTTGTGGAGATTTTAGAAATTTTACAGATTCAAATCATGAGTCAATTGAAGCTAGACCACCATGGAAAACTTGCAAGCACTGGACGGCCGTTTTGTCCTAGTATGGGACTCCTCAGAAGTGCGCATTCACGATCCCGCACTCCTGAGGAGTCCCACAATAGGACGAAAAATTCGTTTTTACCATAATAAATTCGCAATAAAAAAAATTGATCCAAAAATTCAATATAATTTGAATCGAACTAAATATTAGACTAAGCTTTACATATAAAACAGTAAAGATCATGACACCATCACCATCACTACGATAATGTAAATAATTATGCTCTTAACAAGTGACTCAATTTATTTCATAACAATATAGAAACAATTTGATTGATTAATGAAAATATAAATATTTAGCAAACGAGAAAAGGTTTTTCTTATCATATTCTAGTGTACATTATATCTGTTTAACAATAATGTGACCTTACTAATCAATGTTCGTGTGTATTTTTCGATTGCATCAAAGTACTCAAATTGTATATGAATATGAGAAAACTTCAACATTGAATATATATTGATCAATGAATTAAATATATTTCGTCATACTAAACAAAAGAACTATTTTCTATACCATTATTATTTAATTCGTCAATAATACAATTTTATGGGAAATACAAACAAATTAGTTTACTAAGGTGACTGTATGAAAAAAATGTATAATGGAAAATGTTTTTATGTTCGAAATTCAGATATCTTCAAGAAATTACTAAAGTGTTGGATAGTTAATTGTTTTGATTTAAAACTTTCTCATATGATGAGTCTACAAGGAATAATCGACACAAAATCCTATGAATTATGTACATTGAATTTATTAAATTGAAAGTCAATAATGTATCTAGTTAGCTTCAATGAATGTAGGATATTTGTCATCCTATTCCGTCAATGAATAAAACCCATAGATCAAAGATTTCCTGATAGACTTCTGTCTACAAATTAGTCAGTGTTAATCACATCGTTATTAGTGAAGTTTTAACTTCATACTGATCAAAACTTAAAAACTGATTCATTTATAAGCAAAGATGGATAGTGATTAGCAGTGGAACCAGGATGCGCGTTTCATCCTATTCGGAACTCGTCAGCTGGATGTACCTGCATCTCAGAGTTGATGTTCACTCTGGGACTCGAATCCAGTACCGTTCTCTGCAAACGTCAACTTAATTTACATTTTATCCAATAAGCAACTTGTCATAATTGAATATACCAAATGGTTAGTTATATAATTGTAAGCTAAATATTAATTTCTATAAAAATTCATGGTTTAAATGGAAATTTAACTGACTTTTTTATCGAATGCCAAACGCTATCTTTAAACAGATTTTTTTGAAAATATGATTCATCTTTAACTAATAATTAATTCCCTTCCCATGATATTTTTATATTAATAATTATTTATTCATAAAATGATGACTGACCGATTGATTTTAAACTTTACCCAACCATCATCATTCTTACTATCGACCGATAACAGTGATAATAAGTGGGAAAACATTGATTCCTCTGACTTAAATTATAGTAGTTAAAGTTCTATTTAGTTATGATGAATTTATCAATTTCCGCACGAACAATAAAATGTTTCCATTATTATAACACAAATAAAAAGTATCAAATGAATTAAAGATGTCAGACTGAATGTAAATAAGTGAAGTAAAATGTGAATTTAGTAAAGAAGAGTGAGAATGTGACTAACGACGGAATTCAGGAAATGAGTTTAGTTAAATGTACCTTCGTCACAGTAATTATATTCACTCCGGGTTTCTAACCCAGTACCGATGTTTTCAAACACCACTGAGTTATCTAACCAGCTAATGAGTCCAGGTAGCTTTCATTTTTATAAGAAGTATGAGTTGTTACTCAGTTTCAAATTGATTGTATTATTCCGTTGGCTCTATTGAATCAATCTGTACATATGCCAACCAAGACTGATTAAATTTCAGTCAAAATTATCAATAACATGATAATCTTATCAATTTCAAATTAAACTAAAAATCAAACCATCATAACTCATCAGAATAATGTTTGGAAACTTACTTGAAAAATCACTCTATTAAATAATATCACTATTAACTAATTGTTTAGACAAGAAAAAATAATACCTAATAAATAATAGTAGTATAACAGAACTGTGAATTTATTAACTCCGCAACTAATAATAAAACTTATATTCTATTTGAATAAGAGGTTTATAGAGATCATTAGTTGCTACAGATAGCTTATATCATAGCTAAGTTCAGTGACTGATACAATTTTAGATGGATCATTTCTGAAACGTCACCTACTAATATGAAACATCTCTTTATTGTCCTCTGACTTTTAGTTGAAATCAAAAGAACACTTTTCTAACAAGGTTTTAGTCGTATGTCATTTATTTAACAAAATTTAATTAAAAGTGTATAAAATATGATGCTTTAAAACAAAATAAATCACATGACTGGTATTACTATTATAGCACTGTTACAATCAACCTTACAGTTTATATCAATAAAATTGAACAATTACATATTCTAAACATTAACTACTAAAAGTAAATTTCGTTTCAAACTAAAACTGGTTATTGAATGTTTAAAGCCAAATGACTTAAATATCTGTCGTTTAATGTAAGATTCATGTCTATCTAATAAAATAATACCCCCAAAAAATGGATTTAAATACCAATTGACACTTCGACAAACTTAAATTACAAAAACAGTAATATCTAACTTGATAAGTTTTATTTTTAGTACTAATACGTTGATATATAAGTAGAAAACTGTATTACGAAAACTGAACATTGAAATATCATAGTTAAATTTATTTTCATTTTTGTATAAAACTGGTATTTGATACTCTTCACAAAATCTCCATAGTAATTATAATCATGCGCTCATTAGTGAATAACTATAAGACGTACGTTTCTCTTTTTTGATTTTCAGTAAAACACCTTGACTATTAGAGATCAACCATATCGATTGAAATGCAATATCAAGAGTTAATAATTTGGCAACATTACTAACTTTTTTCAAGTTAGATATGTCACTCAGATTTCAACTCAGCGATCTAAATATTAAGCACACTTTATTAGACGTCCAGGTGAAGTTCTAAACATCTGGTGTAGTCGTGGATGTGCACTGTTAAGGCATTTTATAATAGAACAAAATATCTGTCGAGTATTACTTTGCTTTCAATGGTTTGCTAGCAAAATTCAATCCATGATATAAACTACTGAAAATTGACTTATTTCTACCATGAGTAAATAGTTGCCACTTAGAAAATAATAAATTCATTTTAACATTCTTAACAATCTATGGATGATATACCAACAATAAAAATTTAACTTTCATAGAAGAAAAACAAAGCATAATTATTACTAATGCTAACTTCCTTATTATAATAATCAATGAAAAAAGGATATCCCCATTCAATTATGCTTCGTGCTGCTTTACGTATTAGATTGTTTTTTGAAAAAACAAAAAGTGCACGATTTGTTGAATTTTGTGATTCTGGCAAATCAATATTTAATGTATCTTTAGCTAATTGATTAATTGTTTCATATTTAGGATCACGATTTCTACTTTGATCAATATCTGATTGTTTATTTTGTATATTTATAGAATGATTATTAATATTATCTTGATTAGTTATCGAATCACTGGTTGATATCATGATCACGAGTATAATTTTCTAATAAATAATTGATTGAATGTAGTTCATTTGTTAGAGATTAACTTCATAGAACTATCAGTTAATTTGATGTTTCTGGAAGAAAATACCATCGTTTTTTCAAGTTTTATTATGAAATATTGTAGTATCATCTTGAAAATACAAAATGGTTAAACATAGATGCTTGTTTTAAAAACAATAATAATAATAATAATACTTTTTCAAATAAAATGTATATTCCAAGAGTTAAAAAACCTCCTATTATTACTTGATAACGGATATAATGGTGCAATCATTCAAGAACTTTGTTATTTCCATTTGTTTGACTTAAAACCTTGTTGTTTTTTTCTTCAAGAAAAATTTTTTTAAAGTTTTTGATCCTAAATTTGAGTACTGTTTTAGTGAGATCAAGGCTCTGCAACAGGCATTATAAACATATATATACATATATATAAGTTTGCATATGTGATAGGTTGTTAAATAGGATGGTAGGTAGATAGATAAATAGACAGGTACAAACAACTATATACAGAAGGATTAAAAATTTGTAGTATGCTCACATGTGTGAATTATGCTTTAAGTCTGTCCCACTAAAAGTGTATCTATCCCACTATTTTATATACATATCATCTTAGTTGACTAATAACCAAGTATCTTTATTTTTGTATATATATTTAAATTTGGTAAAAGTATAAGCAGTTGATAAGGGAGGATTGAATAAATAAGTAAGTATCTATATACTTTATTGATAAATAGTAGTAAACATTGAATTCATTTAGTCAAATTATCCAATATAATTAAAAATAATTTTGTCATAGTATACAAATTAATTTAAGTTTGTAATTAATAAATAATTTTAGTAACATCCATGAATGATTTAAATTGAACTTACCTCTCTAAGGTATTTTATTTCACGGATCTATGATATTTTTTAAAGGTAAACAAAAATGTATAATCAATTTTTGGTTAAGTAGTTAACTATAGATTCATAATTGAATAATTATTAATTAAAAAGTTTCTGCTTCACAAAATAAAATGATATGAGATTGATTGATTGTTTGATTTTACAATAGATTCTTACTTTTTTCAAAGAAATAATACATTTGTGATGACTGAAAAGAAGTGAATTTGTGTTTTCCTGATATTTTATAAAACTTCTACAAATAATCCTGAAGTGAATATCAAATCTAGGATACAGGTACATCCAACTGACAAGTCCCATATAGGACAAGATCCATGTGCTGGATTTCCCTGCTAACCATCATTCATCTTTGCTTATACAGCTTGTGATTTAAGGTAATATTGAAGCAATCCGCAAAGGATGCATATATACCAATAAGAGAGTGATAAACTGAAGTCCTAATTATCAATGGGAAGATTCAAACAAACAATACAAAATGAGTAATAACTAATTTTTGTAAATTACTACACGTTTTAAAGACGATTCAGCAAAGAAAGTGTTTATGACAACATCATTAATTTGAACTGTACATTTGTGTCTATAGTGCATTAGTAAATAAAGTAGTTTATTTACAGATACAAAGAAGAGTACATAATTTCAAATAACAAAAGAGCGTTGCCTAATGATCAACAATTTAAAGAAAGAGAATAAGAAGAGACCAAATACATAAAAGATAGTTGTCCAATTGACTAGTATGGGAAATGTAAACTGTAAACTAAAAGCATGAAGGTAAGTATAATAAATAATAAAAAAAATTAAAAACACTAAAATGAGAGTTTGTACATGTCACTTAGAATGCAGAGTTCAAGTTTAAAATGATGAATCGATGAAACCTATACAATCCATTAGTCATTGTTTGACTACGCAAGTGATTTTAAAGAATATATCTAATCAGATATGTAATCAGACTTGAACAGATATTTCGTTATTGAATTCTAGATTATTTTACATTCTTTCGTAATACATGCAATATTGTTCTCGGAAATGCAGTTAGAAAGTGTCTTCTTTATGCGGCCGTTGTAGTCTGTTCCGCAAGACCATGCAAACTTATTGACACAGATTTGAACTTCAGTTAGTGTAGAGAGAATCAAACAACCGCTAAACACCAAAAACACTAGAACTGCGTTACCGCAATTCCTATTAACAGAGAATATATATATGATATCGGTTTCATGCATACTAGAATTAATGTTGGATGAGTGTGAGTAAAAATATCCCAGTACAGCTGTACAAGTATTTTTAGATTGGTATTTTCGATAGACTATGCTATTTGGCTGTATAATGTTTGTCTTTATTAAACAATGATAACATTCGGTGTTACATGAAATGCTTCTATTGTGGTGCGTGCTACTTATATTGATATAAGTAGTAGACGACGCGAGTCAGGAATGTAATGTCTGGCGGCAGAAGATGGGGAAGATCAAGAAAGGAAGAGCTGGAATAGAAAGCAAATAGTATGGAAATGCAAGAACAATGAAATTCGAGACAATTATTGAACATTTTGCAAATTAGTATTATAGTATGGTTTTTCTATTTTACCAAGTAACTCTGTAATTGGTGCTAAATATGATTCGGTTGTCCTCACCTGTGTTCTCCTTCACTACACTATTACTGGTCTTTTAGTACGATATAAAACGCTCTTTTTCATTGTTAACAGATTCATAACAACCACTTAGCGATTACTGAATGTATAATATGATTAATAACGGTCTTTGCGCAGCTTGATCGTTATATATTTTAACCTAATAGTGCATAAGAATGCTCTTCAATATAGAGCGTGAGACAACCGACATACACTTAGCTTCATAAATAATCATGTGCTGTGAAAACCAAGTTGTTACAATTGATGGGTTTATTATATTTAATAGTTAATTGCATACTACTGGTCCTGACTTTGAGTTACTCTTAAATGAGCGTTGAGAACTTAGTGCGCCCAATGAGACATGGATATACTAAATGAAAAACTTACTCTGATAAAGATGAGCTTGCGTAATTCTGCTCCATATGATGTAATGTTCCTTCGTGAGAGATCTCTCGTCATCGGCCACTGAATTACAAGTCTTCTACAGATATTCATTATACAATGGCTTATAAAGAAACTATGAATGTTTCACAACTAACCTTGAACTTCGAAGTTCGAAAATTATTGGCTTGAAATTCCTGCCTAGACTTACTAATTAGGGTCATTTTCCCTAATATTTTTGTCATATTTCTCAGCATTAATTGTTCTAGAATCAGGACTAAGTTTGAATGTGCCGAACAACATTCACATCCGACATTATACAGGCAATAAAACTGACTATATGACCTTGATTTCAATTCTGTTTGAGATTGTGAGTGCACGGAAGTCTTGAACTAAAGTCAAACAATTATCAATGGATTCCTAGTTTTTAGTGGCTTAGGCAGCTGATTTGAGTCTGTCATGTAAGCGGATTTTCAATTGCAAAAGCTGTTCGTAAACACCTATTATTACAGCTAATCACACCGACTATTATTTTTTCATCTAGCTTTCAGAGATCGCAACTCGATTCGTTAATCTTTCCATATTTCGAAACATTTTTAAGTGCTATTTCCGATACTACAAAATAAGTACTTTTGCTTACGACTCAAAAATACTTAAAATTCTGTAATGAACGAACTCAGATAGGGACAACCAATTTATCTTTTGTTTCAAAATTACAGAATATCTTGCTAACATATGAGAACCATACATTAAATTCTTCATTTACAAACCTTCCATGAATTGTCCTTTATATTCTGTATGATTCTTTCAATTCAAAATTCTTTTCTATTTCCCGTTCTGTTTTCTTCAATTCGACCTTCATAGACCTCTGTTACCATGCATTCCACTTCTGATTGGTGTTATATATTATTTATATCTGTCGACATAAGTCGTAAACACCACAATTCAACTAAACTCCCAAAAATAATAATTTCGTAGTCAATTTTAATAAGGTAGATGATATTTAAGTTCATACATATTTTCTTCACCATTTCTTTAAGCCCAATTTTTTTGAGTATGCGACTGTATTACAACATGATACAGCCGTGATATATTGCAATTAATCAGTAAGTATATTTTCATCTTAAAAGAAAGCTATAGTTATGGTTACGTAAGGAGTAATTAAATTTCATAACTAATCGATTGATATACCGACGTTTCATACTGAAATTCATTCCGCTGACTAATTGTTGTAAAGATTATATTATAAATGATTTGTTTAATAATTTACAACACATTACACCCACTATAATAAATTTCTATCCGTATCTTCATAAAACGATTTCAATTAAAAATAATTATACTTGAATTCACCATTAAAAAACTCCGTCATTTAATGTTTAAAATATTAAAACTTGATGTAATAGAATTTTGTTATTCTTCAACAACCTTTTTAAAAAATTAAATGTTCCAATGAGTTGTATATACTCTATGTTGAACAGATTGTTCAATGTCATATTTCATTTATCAGAAAGAGTTTTGTGGAGATTTTTAAAAATTTCAATAGTTGAAATCATGAGTCAACTGAAGCTAGACCACCATGGAAAACCTGCAAGCACTAGACGGCGGTTTCGTCCTAGTATGGGACTCCTCAGCAGTGAGTATCCACGATCCCGCCTCCTGCGACATTCGAAGCCAGGACCTATCACTCTCGCGCGCGAGCGCTTAACCATTAGACCACTGAGCCGGCATCCAACGGTGTTAATGTCTAACCTCAACCAAACATGAAGACAATGGTGTACGGTGGCTCAACTTCGTGGATTGGTTGAAGTTATATTGAAATATCAGTTCGTACTGAAATCTCGTTATCTTAATTATTTTATTCGGCAATTTTTATATTTTATCATAAAATATTATTCTTACATATCTAAGGTTGCAATGTTGCTAACTGCTAAGAAAATATAACAAAACTTAACTTGATTGTAACATATCATAAAATAGATTTTTCTAAACCTTTTATTCGACTAACAATGGTATACGGTGGCGCAATTTCGTGGATTGGTTGAAGTTAGACATTAACACTGTTTGGATGCCGACTCA